GTTTTTCTCTCCAGAGCTCCTAGGCCAGTATGTCTGCATTTTTGCTGTTAGAGAGCTGAAGCCTAGGCAGTAGCTCACTGAAAGATACAAAGCTTGAAGTAGGAACCAAACATGTTTCTTAAAACCTAGTCCAGGGCCAGTTACATTCATCTGCTCTTTCCTTCTGGATAGCAGCTTTCCTCTTTGATATCCATGATTTCTATCCAGGTTGTTTTTACTGTGAACATACCATAATAACTGAGTCTGAAGAGATAACAGAATGCAGCACCCAGCAGTTTTGGGCATCAGCAAGGAAACACTGAGAGAGGTACTAGGAGACTGAAGCACAGATCTTTGTTACCTCTATTACAGCAGGGAATTTTGTTTAGTATGGACAGTGATATGTAACTCCTTTTTAAAGAAATCCTTGGAAAGGAAGGGAGAGGGAACATAAAGAATACTTATTTTCAGGAAAAGCAAGCCAACCTTTGCCCTCAAACTCAGACACCGAAGCCAACATGCTTTGTGCATGTATTTCTCAGGGGGAAAAAATACCATGATTAATCTGACAAAATAAGTGCTTCAGAAATCTTCCAGGAATTAAAAGCAGAGTTTCATTTTCGATCTGTCTTCTCAGTAAGAATCAGAAGAATAGTTGTGCTAGTGATAACTCTGAGAGAATGCTTGTAGAAAAACGTAAGTAATAGACAGAAACAGAGTGATACTTCCCTGCCATACGGACAGTTCAGTGATCCGACACTCAGGGTATCTACACCAGATGTCATAACTTTCCCACATTTCTACTCGTGTGACATTTCTGGAGTCCCGATTAGTAGTGGCCTGTTGACTCAGACTGACTCTGGTAGTAGAGGGCTATTTTTTTTCAAGACTTAGGAAGTTTATCATTCAATGACATATATATTGATGTTGAGAAATTGCTGCAACACATGTGAACTTTCCCAGCTTTTAACAAAGACAATGAGACCAGTAGATGGTTTTTGGTAGGAAAGATGGTTTGATTTTTTATCAGATGTTCAGTTAATTTGTTTTCTCATGTGTGCCACGTCAGATTTGGGCTTGTGATTATTAATTTAGCATGGATCATTTAATTTAACATTAAAGGTTAAGACTCCTTTGGTACAATCATAAACAAACAAGGTAATAATGAGAGATTTGAGACATGTAATTTATGTTTTTTTACAACTGAATGTTACCTTGATGCCAGGATCTGTGAAGCTTTTATGTCAGCAACCACATGAAGAAAGTAGTAGCTCATGAAAACTCTTCTTTGTAGCAACAGGAAAGCAAAACATATACTGTCCCAGATGATTCCTGCTTCGCCACTAGGCAGTTTACAGTCTAGATTGCCACTTGCTGGAAAAAAAACCCAAAAACATCACCATAAGGACTGTTGTATTAAATATTCCTTTGTAATGTTTAATCAAGTAAATAAACTTAGCCTTTAAAGCTTTTAATGAAGTCTTTTAATTTTATTCTTTCTTAAGACAACTGATGTACATTTGATTTGTGCTATACTTTCTTTTGCTGCAATTTGGGAAGCTTCCAACAATGGGATTTCTTATGAAAACTGACAATTCACCGGAAGTGAATCATTTTGCAAACAATCTTCCCCTCTTCTAACGAGTAGTAGAAAACAAAGATCATGAACAAAGCATTTTTAGTTAGCCTGAAACACTTAATTTCAGCTTTTTTTTTTTGGAATTGTGTTTCAGTTTTTCATTTCAAAGTGACTTTTTCTCTCTAACAACAACATGAGAAGGAAGCTTTAAATTTGTCAAAATAAAAATTTTCAATTGACTGTTACTACCTAATATGTTTTTTTCTTCCTTTCCACATCTCAGTTCAAAAGAATCTTCAAAAGTTTCTTTCCAAAGCAGAAGAGAAAACAATATTTGAAACCACAAAAATCCTTCCTTTGGGGTAGGAGGAGTGAGGCAAAGAGGAAATCCCATTCCTCCTAGCTCTCCTATAAAACATTTTGGCTTTGGCTGTTTATTTATTTATTCTCTAAAAGACATTTCGCTTGGGAATAATAGAAATTTAAAGCGGGGCTTTGTGGAGCTAGTCTATAAAACAGATTTCCTATGCTGTTCTATAGCAGAAGGACCCAAGGGGCAGACATTGGCTCAAGGCTGGCTTTATAGTCAAGGGAGACGCTCTAAAAGGTCTGGGAGCTCCAAGAGCTTCCAAGCCTGCTGCCCTGTCCTCTGGGATGTCTGAAACCCCTGGCCAAGTCTCTGTTGGTCCTACAGAGGTTTTGGATAACAGAAGAAGCACTGAGCACTGGGCATCATTTATCTGCCAGTTCTGCACCTTTGCATTTCCTTTATTTTCCTCTAGTCCCCACTTTTCTAAAAGTATCAGACACAAAGACCTTAGAAACAGGAATTCAGAACTTGGCTTCAGACTCGCTAGGATGAGTCACTTCCACTTCAAATTCAGTAAAAAAAAAAATCCTTCCCTCTCTCCCCCCCAGCTCAAGTGTTTTCTAATTATCAACACAGGATGGCAGGACAGAGTGATGCCAGACTGAGAGCTCACTGAAAGGTGAAAGGTCTTTCTTCCCTCCGGGGGCTGGGATTCTTCCATCTCTCACCTCCATCCACACACATTATCCACTCCTTCGCTATCATTACTTTATACACCAGTGTGTATAACCAGAAACAAATTGCTGACATCCACTATTCCTGCTAAAAATACTTTTATTTACTGCTAAACATTTTCAATATTCAATCATACTCATTAGCTGAACTTGCAAGTATAATATTATTTTCAAAGTAACATATCAGGAGAGGGCACAGTATGCATATGGCAGAAGATTTTGAAGGAATTCTCTGCTTACAGAAAATTATGTAGAAAAATGAGTTATACTTACGAATACGGTAACCTTTAACTGTACAGGCCAGGCTAAATGCCTGAATCAACCAGCAACTATTCTTAATCAATGATTCAATGTAGCCACATGCTCCTATCTGGAGAGTAAAAGAATAGTTTCATATAACAAGAGAAAGCAGAAGTAAAGACAGGAATAGTATTATAACTCTTTATTATATAAAAATATTGTAACTCCCACTGCCTGATTATATTTGATTAATAAAACAGATTAAAATAATAGGTGTCTTTATCTGTGACATATCACTTTCAAATAGCAAGATCTTGCTCCTTTTTCCCTTATTGGTAAGATATCAGGTAGGTAGCTTTGTGTTTGTGATTTTGCAGGGAAAGTAATACATCTGGCATATGATGCAATGTGGCAGCTAGGCAACTTTTATAAATCACTGACTTAATCTTGCAAATATAAATGGACAAGCTTAACTTAACACACGCGTAGCCCCACTGAATTCCCAAGCATAAAACGAGGCACATATGTAAGTATTTAGAACACTCACAAATTCAAACCACCCATAAATCAATTTTATTTCAGTACAGTGACTTGTATAAATGTAAAAAGAAAAATGCCTGCTCTTTTCAGTCCAGCAGTAAAAATGTTCAAAGGTAAAAAGTGATTGCCAAGAATAAATACAAATTTATCTTTCATAAAGTTTTAAATTACTGGCTTGTCTCAATCACCTATCAGTGCCACTACAAGAATCTGCTCTAAGCAGCTCATTAATATAAGAAAACCCTTAATATTTTGCAGAAATAATTAAGAGTTTATTATTAATATATAATTATAGAATAAGATTGAATTCATCTAAAACTTACACAAGCTTTAAAGGAAGCTGGGATGCAGTTTGCAGTTCTTCAGTTGATTTCACTAACTGTAACATATATCATACAAAAACTATGCATACAAAAACTATGCTAATAGGCTTTAAAATTCTGATTTTAAAGAAAAGGTTTAATTAAATGTGTACTCTTTATCCATGGTATAACTAAGTTTTTAGTTCACACTCATTTCTGATTCAGCTGAGATTTTCTTGGGCTTCTAAGGAGATGTTTAGCTAGCCCCGCTCTGAATCCAGCCTTTTTAAAATAGCTTATGAGCTGACATGGAGCTGGACTGAATACAGTGGTACACACTTTCCTATAACATGTATGCATAGGTTTTTTTCTGGATATGCACTTGCAGTTTCTGATCTAACTGGAGCTTGCTTTGTACTAGCAGAAGGTTGTGGTCCTGAAAAGGATTTTTAATGACCACTCAGAGAGCTGCACACTCCTGCCATGAAACCATAAAAGTGCTTAGAGCAGAGGAAAAGCAGCAGTGACTTACGGAGAGAATGTTCTTCATCGTGATCACAAAGACATTGTACGCAATCAGCCAGTCCCAGTAACGCAGGATGCTCCTGATGGGCTTCAGCAACAGGTCTCCACCAAAGAGAAGGAAATAGAAGCAGGCCACCAAATAGCCCATACAGAATATACTGATCCTTGTGGTTCCCGTGATGAAGATTATCGTAAGCACAACCCAGAAGAGGTAACTAAATATTATCACCTTATACATATCTAAGTAGGACCTGGAAGCAAAAGGAGAAAAAGTGACCAGTTTTGGAGTACAATGCCTCCTTTCCTCCATCAGTGTGACTGGCTGCTCTTTGAACCTACACCCCGTTTCATGTTCTAGTCCCTCTTTAGCATTTAGGCACCTGCTTAAGATTAGCACTAAGGTCAGTGAGGCTACCAGGCTCAAACACTCAGTTCTAGTTGGTTAATGCTCGCTGTGTCCTGGTCTGAGCACTTTATAATCAAGCTCTGTGTCATACAAAGGGGAAAAATATATTCTCAACAAACTTCATGATAGCGTGATCCTAGCTGGCAGCATTACACATGCAAGTTAAAAGCTATCTGAGATCACCTTTTAAGAAGTCTCGTTACTGCTATAGCAAATCTATCTTCAAAAGCAATCTACTGCGAACAATGCTGTGTTTATCGATAACTTCTAGGGAATTCAGTCTGGTTAAAAGACCAGCTTTCAAAGATGGCTGTTAATAACATCTTTCTCCAATGGAGATCAACTGTGAAAGTTTTGAGGGGTAAAAGGTTTCTACAGAATGTAAATGTCTTACAATTTACTCAAACATTTGCCAGGAAGCTGCAAGACAGAACTAACTGAAATCTGCCTGACCCACAATGGGAAACAGTAAGAACCAACTTGGTATTTTCAGATTCTTGAATCTGAAATCTTGACCTAATATTGACTCAGTGAGCTTTCAAACAGGAATATCTGCCAAAAGCAATATAGAATGCTGGGTATAGCTAAACACTGCAAAACCAACTAATTCTCAGTTTCCCTCAGTTTTGTGTTTTGATTCCAGATGCACTGTGTCCAGGGTCTGTTCCCATAGGCTGTGAAACTAGATTGGCAGGAAACCAGGAAGGGAGACAGCACTGATTATACTGAAGCTGCATGATATAAAGACTAAATGAACTAAATGCACTGTATGAAGCCACATAAAAGGGCTCTTGCTGCTTGATGTTCTCAGGCTTCAAACTTTCTAGGAGTATATATTTACAGGCCTACACTTATGCGCCTGTATAACACTGCTTGCTTTCTGAAGCCAACCGGAGCTTTCAGGCTTCAAACTTTCTAGGAGTGTATATTTACAGACCTACACTGATGTGCCTGTATTATACAGTTTGCTTGCCGAAGCAAACCACAGAGATTTTTAATGAAAAGCAATGAGAAAGCATCTTTATGATTATTTCCCACAAACATTAAAGAAATTTATGGATGACTGCCTGTGCAATCTAAAACTTTCATGATTTCAGAGATGTTATGAGCAGCATAAAAGTAACAATTAGTCTATTGAACAGATCTTCAGTAGCTTAATATGCACTAGAAATGATGTTCTCATTATTTCTGAAAAAAGAAAAAAACCTTACCACAATATTTGGTATTTCATTAATAGTAATTAATGATGTGTGGGATGGTTAGGAAGAGAGCAGCTTTCTGGCACTGTTCTTACAATTGCAATATTCTTACAATTGCAGTATTTTTTGAGAAAAGCCAAAAATAGACCTGAACTGAGGTTTTACGGAAGAAGTAAGCTTTCTGTTGACACAGTGTTGACAATATCACTCTGACTAGTAGTAGCTCAGGGCTTCTCTACATTGACAGAGCTGTTGTTCTCTCTCTCCATTTCCTTGCCTTCTCTGCCATCTGATTTTCTTTGCTCGTGAGTGGGTAACCATCATTGCATAACCAGACGCAGACTTTAAAGGGAACATTTCATTGATATGCTGTTAGTAATATTTCTGCTCTTAAGACACGGTTAATTGGGATCCCAAATTGCTTCCCTATCGAAGTCTAGAGAACATCTGAAAGCTGCTTGGGAACTGAAATAAGAATTTTTCAGCATTAGAAATTGTCTGTGAGAAAAGATTATCCTCAATGAAATCACTTTAAATCCTGTACAAAAGCTCCTACTTCTATTCTTAAACTTTATTTTTATTTGAAATTCTTCACTTATGTTCTCCCTTGGGGTCAAGCACATATCCCCTGAGAAATCTGAGGCTGGAAAGGCAAGACAAATCTTTTCCTTAGACTGCATATGTCATTGCTGATCTTATGTATTTCTCCAGGAAAACAATAAATTTGGAGACATGTTCTTTTTTTGCCACTGTTTATATTGTAATAAAAAGGTTTTTACTGCAACAGTGACTGGACTGTGGAGCATCTTATTCAAGGGAGGAGACACATCAGAAGAGTGCTTGAGTTCACTGCTGTCACTTGCTTTATATCGCATTGAATACATGCACAATCTCAGAAAACACACAAACACTAAGGAATAAATACTTTGAGACTTTGCAATTTATTCATAATGAAGTTATCTTCATTCATTTGTTTGGTTCTTTCTGACTGACTTTTGGATAAATGCCATTTTACATTTCACCTGCTTGGCTAAGCCTTGAACCAGGTTGCTGTCCATGTAAAGAAATATTTAGACTATTCCTCAACTTTTGATGCAATGTGCAAGAAATATTTATAGACAAAGGCCTTTCAGTTCCAAATTGTCTCAAATGGATGCCAGATTTTCTCCAGAGATACACCTTCTGTAGATTCTCCAGGGCTTGAGAATCATTCTCCTGAAAGATTTATAACTCCCAATAAAAGATTGGAAATCACCTTAAGAGACTATCCAGCCGCTCTCTGGTGCTTCTTTGAAGCAAATTAGACATTTAAGACTTCATGTGGGCAGTACAGTATCTCAAAAATGACATGAGTTAAAATCTGGGAAAATCTACATTGCAATGAAAGTATTGAAGAGGACACAGAAGGGCTTGAAGACAAAATCTGCCAAGAGATTCACATTTATGGCAGGTGTGTTTATACCTATTTACACATTCTGGAAGTATGCTCTCATTAGAATTTCAGGAAGCTGACACTTCAAACAAGGAAAAGAGTTACATATTACCTGCCATAATATCTAAAAGAAAGGACACCACGAACAAGCATTTCTGTTTCCGAAATTAATGAATTTTCTGTTCTTTTGATGGAATTTTTCACGCAAAAATAAAAATGCCTCTGCTCTGTTTCCTTTTCTGCCTTATTCTTTTCATTCTCTTTCTCATTCACACAGCATAAAATTATCCCTTGAAACAGTCACACCGATTTGGTTGGAACAAAAACAAAATTATCAAAGCTTATTTGTTCAATTGACCATTACCAATGGAATTGATTTCCTGCCTTTTTTTTTTCTTTTTTTTTTAAATTGTATCCTCCACTAGCAATATTGCTAGTGCCTAAACACAAACTCTAAATTCCCAGTCAAATGGCTGCATACTTCTAATCATCTATACCTTGGTCTGTGTTCTTATACCTGCCAAGTACTATGTTTGAATGCATATGAAGCCTCCAATGACTTCAAGCTGATGCATACCATGCATGTGAATCAAAAGACAGAACTTAAACCAAAGGATTGTGGAGAGGCAGAAGGCCAGTTCAGCTTGGGCTTTGCTTTCCGTTATAAACCTGACTCTGATTCTCATCCAAAATCTTCAAAGGACATCCTTTGTGTTTCAAGCTTTTCATGCTGGGCCATTTGGGTATATCTTCTACAGATGACTAGAAATACCTATCAGATTCCAAGGAACTTTGAAAAGATGCCGAAAAAGACTACTTAGAAAGCAGTGATTTTCTTGCTTCTTTTTTTCCTCCTGAAGATAGCTGTCAAATATAGCCTCATCACTAGTGATTTTTTTTTCACAGGGATTTTTTTTCTGGACTAGGATAGGAAAATGAGTTCCCTTCTTTCTGCCAGCAGCCACATCACCAGCGATGATCTTTCCCAGTGAGCAAGCATTTCAGAGTGCCTGGTGCAACTGATGTATTAGTTCTTTGCTAACATGGATACCACAGCAGTGGCAACAAGAAAAACTCAGCCAACACCCCTACTTTTTCCTCTCAGCTAAGCTCTATTTGGCAGAGGCCTCTTGGAAAGCATCCCCACTTGATGGAGTATTTTGAAGAGAGGTTATGACTTATTTCTTTCTGCTTAGATTAGTGGACAGGAGCACCCTGCCCACTAAGTAGATTGGAATATTGCACCCTGCAACCCGGACTGATTATAAATCTTTGGACAAGTGAGTCAACTGAACATGTTTCAGTGAAATCTGCTTTAAAGCAATTTTAAGATATACTTTGCCACCATGTCTAACAGAAACAGAAGAATCAGCACAAGATTTTAAGATGGGATTTTGATGACAACACTCGTCTAGTTAAAAAGAAAATACCAGCAAAATTTGAAGCAGAAAATAAGATTTTCCAATTTGATGTACTTTTCATACTCAGACTTCTGTTGTTAACATGCATTAGTTTTCAAGACACACATTTAGCTGAGCAAAACGCAGTAGCTAACAAATCTTCCTGGTAAGTCTCATAACACTGCAGTATACTTTTGAGGAGACCTTAAACTAATATTAGGCACAGAATGAGTTAGAATCTGTCCCTGATTAAATATGATCACAGAGCTATGGCTTCAGTGTTCGAAGACCGGCTGGAGCAGACTGTCTCAGGCTCTGCCCCCCTTACATGTTACTGAACTTCTTAAATTTGTGTATAATGTTCAGACAAGCCAGTTGTCCTTTCAAGATTCTTTCAAGTTTCTTAGCTCTAGATGGAATAGCAGAAAAGTCATTCTCATAGAGAATCTCATTTACTCACCAGGACATAACTGACCACTTTTGTGGAATTAAATAACCAGATGGGCAAGTTCAGACTACCCCAGGTTCTTTCTCACAAGTGTGTGTTCTGGAGGAAGCCAAGGGAGTGAAGTCCACCACAGAAGCTACTTGACAAGGATATTTGTGGAGGGAATACACACCTTCAGGCAAATTCCTCACTGAGCATCCCTTTGGCGATGACACCACTTAGACCATCAGCATCACTTAGATGGCAGCACTTAGAGCAGACAATGTTAGAAACACTCTCTAGGTTGTTCCCATCTGCCATTTTTTTTCTAAGGCGGAAGCTAATTATCTCAAAACCATCTATCTTTGGTCTCATACAGCAGTAAAAAGTATGTTATGAGATAGGAACACATATATAAATAACATCAGTACAATTGGAAGCTGTGAGAGTTACTTTTACACTAGAGAACTTTTCCAAGTCTTTAAGGTTCAGCTTTACCGACAGTGGATGAAGTCAGGAACTGGATTGTGCTGGCTAAATGATGATGCCTCAAGATTCATGCAGATTTCCACATTGTCTCCAGCCATGATTCGTACTGCAGCTTTATTCTCATCTTCAAATGTTTGCCTTTGCAAGGATGCACACAGCAGCAACATAAAATCATCTAGGAGAATAAAGAGTTTGAATGAAAAATCTAAGTGTAGGGAGTGGTGATGACATGCTACAATGTAGTTACCTGAGTGTTTCCCACACTTTTGAATCCATAAGGCTGTATTAATTTCACTGCAGTTGACATCAGTCTGACACTTATTATTGCATTTAAATTCTTACCTTTCATCTTTTTCTATTTTTTATTGTGAAAGAAATTAAATAAGGGAAAGAAATTCATATTTTCTGATACTGCTTCATTAAAATGAGATAGCAAATTTAAAAACAGATGCAGAACTTACTAATTTTTTGATATTTTTCACTATACGCTCAACCTCACTTAGTATTCAGTGTCCCACAGAATATGTAACTTGTTCCTCAAGAGTAAATAAAAGGCTGGCTTCAATTGACAGAGTACAGATGTATTAAGCAAAACACACATAAACACTTCACAACTATGCTAAAATACTTACAGACAAGAAAGACAGGATTTGGTTTCACAATGAAGTCTGGAAAATATAACCACTTTATGATGTTGGAGTTGAAGTTGGCATTACCATTTCTCCATGGATAATCTATATGAGGGAAGCATGCAAAAATGCAATCAGTAGTTTATAACAATTACTTCACTCCTCTCTCCTGAATACTTATCAATTTTACAGCACTTTTCTGTAAAAGCAAGCAGCAAATCTATAAAAGGAAAGTGTCCTTACCTTTACAAGGAGCAGGTGGAATGCCAATACAAAGGAAGTACTGGAACATAATGATGCATGCCAGAAAACAGCAATACTTTGGCCAGATCTCTGCAATAGCTTTTCTTCTGCGTCGATACAATACAGCAATCAACCAAAAGGCATGAATCATAGCATAGAAATCCATTCGCTGACCAATTACATTAACGGACAGAAGAAAACAGGTCTGAAGAAGAGATAAAGAAAAATGAGCAATAGTCAATACAGTACTGCTATTGATCAGCCAGTATTGATAAACTATTCTGGATAATGACAGAATCCTTGGAGATATGCTGGGGCTGAATGCAAACCAGCTTTCTGCAAATCAGTGCACTAAAACAGTTTGTATTGCTCCATTAGCAAACTCCCTAACCCCACTCCAGCAACCCAGATTTTAGATGCTTTTCTATCAGTGCTGACTGTCTGAATACAGCAAGTTTCCATTATGTGATTCCTAAAGATACAAAATGGGAAAGCATTGTTACAGTAGCCTGTATGTGAAATACTTAATTGTTGCCAAGCAAGGCACATATTACACTGCTATATATTTTGATAGCACTTACAGATGTGAAGAAGAAAAGAAACCATCAAGAATAACAACTAAAGCGTATCCTCATGTGGAAACAGATGAAAAGAAAAAGGATTCAGACAATATAACTTCTATTGGCTATAGACAGACTGAGTCAATTGCTGTAAGGTAGATTTAGTTCTCCATTTATCTTAAAGCTCTTTATACCAGCGCATTTCTGTTCTATGGTTCCACTTAAAGTAGTTCCTCCACCTAGTACCACGAAGCATGTTTTCAAACTTAGTGCATATTTCATAGTAAATAACTTATCCAATGGACTTCATTGTCCATTTGCTCTTCTCCCTCCTCTAACAGACTAGGATGAGGTTAATTTTTTTCCTGCAGGAAATAACTTACGGATTAATTTTAATTTTGACTCGTTCCTAAATCTCATAATGTCTGTGAGCCGTTTACTGTTTATTGTTGACAGGAAGTAGTGATGTTTAATTCTGCCTGCACGCATGGATAAACAACATCATTATGTTTAGCTTTGGATTGCATTAATCTAGGAGTTTAACACATGCTTTCTGAAGACATCCTTTGAAATGTGGGAAAAAACACTATTCCCACATTTTCGAAAGTACACTTAATGAGTCTGTTAATACACAAAGGAGGTCAGAAAATAGATGAAGCAAATTTTTCTTTTTTTCTTTTTTTTTTTCCTTTAAATAAAATTAGTGTATTGTGACTTACCTCCAAACCAAACTTATAGAAGAAGTAGTTTATGAAATACTTGATGCAGTTTACCAGTCCATCATCCAGATGTGCTCTTGTAATATCATGGAAAATGGTTCTAGTAACAGGTGCAGTAAGATTATTTCGACATCTGTAGTACTCTTGATGACGGTAAATTGTAACTTCAAAGGCCAGAATAGCCAGCATCAGTAAGTTATTCTATGGGAGATACAACCAGAATTCCGGCTGAAATCAAAACCACAAGACACTATACAACTTTCTGACAAGCATAAACCAATGAATACTCAAATACTTCAGTTACCACCAAAAGTTTCTGTATTCCAAGATGCATTGGGTCTTACTTACATCGACTAACACTGAAACAAAGTGTGGTTCCTACCACTTCTGAGATTTTGATGAAATGTACTAATACCGCAAAAAAAAAAAAAAAAAAACAAGATGTGGAAAGACTGGGAATTGAGAATTCATTAACCTGAATTTTCATTAACTTCTGTGCTCTCTTAAGTTTCATGGCTTTTCTGAAGATATCATACTGTGCTGCCATCCAGAGGGACCTGGACAGACTGGACAACTGGGCAGTGAGAAAACTCATGAAATTCAACAAGGCCAAGTGCGTGCAAGCTCCTGCACCTGGAGAGGAATAACCCCAGACACCAGTACAGGCTGGGGACTGACCTTCTGGAGGGCAACTCTGCAGAGAAGGATCTGGGTGTCATGGTGGACGACAAGTTGACCATGAGGCAACAGTGTGCCCTCGTGGCCAAGGCACAGCGACGGGCTACAAGGATGATCAGGGGCCTGGAACATCTGCCCTATGAGGAGAGGCTGAGGGAGCTGGGCCTGTTCAGCCTGGAGAAGAGAAGGCTGAGAGGGGATCTAATCAGTGTCTAAAGTACCTCAAGGGAGGCAGTGAGGAGGATGGTGCTGGCCTCTTTTCAGTGGTGGCCATTGATAGACCTAGAGGAAACAGACAGAAACTAAAGCATCAAAATTTCCACAGGAACTTAAGGAAAAATTTCTTAACAGTGAGGGTGACAGAGCACTGGAACAGGCTGCCCAGAGAGGTTGTGGAGTCTCTTTCTCTGGAGATCTTCAAAACCCGCCTGGATGCCACCCTGTGCCACGTGCTCTAGGTGACGCTGCGTGTGCAGGGGCGTAGGACTAGATGACCTCTAGAGGTCCCTTCCAACCTTAAGCATTCTACGATTCATGCTTTGCTTTGTATGCATATCAGGCTACAAGCATCCACAAAGCAGCCAGACATCAATTGCAGGGGCTTTCTGGCACACACTAGCTCCCTAAAACTGCGAGCACTTTTGATATATCCTGGATATCCTTTTAAATAACAATTATTAGCTTAACTATCAGTCTTGTCTAGAGAATACTCTTTCTGTCCCAACAACAGGTTGATGAGGATGCAGTTTTGAACCCCTCTGTGATGAGGTCTCTAGGGGGACCTGCCTTTTGCTCCATGGCAAAGAAGTGGTAACCAACTCCAAAAGTTGGTTAAAAGGACAGACCAGAGAATTTTCCTCAAGGAATCCACAGGTGAAGCAGAAGTGTCAATTCTAGATCTCTAGAAATATTTCAGACAAAAAACTCCTGAGACAGGTTTATCTATACCGCTTGGATGGTTGCTTGCTTGCTTGCTTGCTTTGCTTTCTTTTTACAAGCTGTTTTTGTTTGTTGTCCTTGGACTCTCTAGTCATGCTGGGGAGCGAGTTACAGAATCTATCATGGGTAGCTTCTTCACTTCAACAGTGCAGACATTTTGAGTGCCTGTTTTTAAAGGGACAAAAGAGAAGCCTGGGGACTTCAGTTCTATCATAGGACCAGTTCTTCTAGATTGAGTGGACATTTTCTTTGCTATTAAGCCAAATAAAATAAATCTAGAATAATTTCTAATGCCAAAATATTATCTATTTATAACTGCAAAGAACTATCATCAAGGCAGATACCACTAGGTAACTTCGCCCTCCATCATGCAAGATTTTCTTTGGGAGCTAAAAAGCTTTTACTTTAAATAGGATTTTTTAATCAAGACAGGAATGATAAAGTATTGTTCACGAGCATTAAACAAAACAAAAAGAAAAAAATACATCACAAGTGATGAATTATTTGAATTATTTGCCTCTGAATGATTTGCTTACCTCATTCCATTTTCTACATTGTAGATAAGAACTAAGCACATAAAAAAAAAAGCCTACTTAGAGCAGATACTGTCATTCAAGGCAATTGTTCCAATTAGACCCTTCAGTCCTTTGGTATCTGAAAGCTCTGTACCTCTTTATTAATTACAGTTCTTAAATATGACATTCTTAGAGTACTTCTAGCACATGAAGAATCAGAAAGCCATATTTCTATATGCAGTTTATCTATCTCATTTGATACCTGGGACCTCCTGAAACACGCCTGGAGCCTATTATCAATGGCTTACATCAAATATTTTGTATGACAGATGATACATTTCAAAGGCATTGCTTATTTCATCACAAATAAAATATCTCAATACATATAATTAAAGAAGTTACCCTTAAGTATACAAGCAAGGGGTAAGATTTCCTCAGTCCAACCCACTCTGCAGGATCAACTGGCCCACTGTAGAGGACTGAAGTTTTCAGTTCTTCTAAATTGACTGCAGTTTCGTTCTCTCCAGGCTAAAAAGAAAATGCCATGGTTTGTAAAACATCTCTTTGAAGCTGCTTAAGGTGGCAATGATAGTCAGCAAAAATAAACACACCAGGTGTAAATACTTGATATGCTTCCTTTGTTCTTCTTTATTGAAGAAGGCAGCAGTCAAACCCTTTTAACATGTACTTGTACTCACCAATGTACAGTTACTGGAAAAAGTGCTGGGATCAATAGACGTAAGCTGGTACAACATTTTGCAGACAATAATCACACATGTCCAAACAGTGCAGATACTGGATGCCAATGGGCGAAACTGAGCATATGGCAAAGCAAGAGCCCAGGCAATTAAAAACACAAAGTTAAACAGAGACACCTGAAAACACAAAAACAGGATGGAGAGAAATTATATGGAGTAGCAAGAGAACTGAGAAAGTCTGACCTCTTCCGTAATCACTCAAATAAATCACAAAGGGACATAAAGAAACTGAGAAAAATGCTGGGGGTGGAGGGGGACAGAAATAAAAAGACAACAATAATCACAATAATACAGACACAAAGTTGTCAGTGAAGAAGGGAAAACTTAATAGTTAGTTTAGGATGAACATTATCTCCAAGATAATGTTAATCCTATTAGATCCACAAAATTACATACCCACCCTGCAAACAATAGCATGTGAAGTACCAGGGACCACAAGCCAGTCTAGAGATGGCATGGATTCGTATGTCTGTGGAACTGGCCTTCATCCTTAACTTAAACAGGTCCCCAGATGCTGACAAGTCCCACTGGATCCCACAAATTCAGTAAGGTCTGACATGAAGAAGCAGATTTCTCCCCACGCTTGGGGCCCTGATGCTGACAAGCCTCCACCACAGGCAAGGTTTTGTCAGTGGATGTTTACTTGCCTCTTTCACTGTGACCCAGATGATGTAAGAGGAAACAATTTTGATGATGTGCAACTCCAAAAGCCACCACACAAAAACTTGCATCTTATGAAAATACTCCAGGAATTTCAAAAACAGCACTGTGAGGCGATCAATCACCAGATGCCACTTGTTCTTTAAGTCTGCAGAGATGGCCAAGCATAGGAAGGAGAAAAACAGGTTTCTGTAAAAAAAAGGAATGCTTCAACAGGCAACAACAAGCCTCCTACTTCTGCTCTTTGAGCTTTAAAATAAGTCCTGAAGGAAGCCAAAGCCATGGTTTAGTGTTTAACTAAGACGAATTAACTAAAATGGAGTTAAGGCCCAATCAGCTATGGTGGTTTTACTTCTGCCTCCCACCCTGCAAAGAGTTTCCTCATTTCAAGATGTTCCTGGCAGCTTTCTGTGCCAATTTTGCTTTTATTCCTCCCTAACAGAGGCCTTTTGAGGTACCATTTTCCTCCAGTGTCTTTGGATCTGAACCTAAGCCTAGAGCTCAGACTCACCAGCCCACAGTTTGACATTTGGAAGATACAGACTCAGCTTATTTTCAGAAAGCACAAAACACTATTTAGAATGCTTTTCAGCCAGTTTGGAAAAAATCCATGCACACTATGAGTGTCATTCTTATGCCACGGCTTTAGATGGCTATACTGCACATGTCTAAATCTATCAGCTTCATCTGTGTTGCCTTGCAAACAAGGCACACAGAGGGTGCAATTTCTGCCATCCCAGGATTGACATATAAAGTAGCTAAGCCAATCTGTAGTCTAGGAAAGCCTATTTTTCTCAGAGCATTAAGATTACTAATTTGGCGACTGCTGGGTAGACTTTCTCATATGGTGTTTTGCTATAAAAGACATCTTCCCCAAATAACCCAAGGTGCAAGAATGTGGCAACAGAAAATGCCTGTTTCCTGTCAGTATATAGGGTAATAGGTATGCTGAACAGTGCTGGCTAGAAAGTCTCATACATATTGGCATTAAGTCTTCATACTGTTTAGATATTTCAAAGCATTTTGGAGGCTAAGAAGGATTTTATACACTGTGAGAACATTCTGATAGTTAATATGGAAATATCAAAAAGGGAAACATTTAAGAGTAACAGCAAAACATATCACATTCCAGGTTTTTTAGTTCAGTCCTTTTTTTCCTAAGCAGAATTTAGAAAATCTTAATAAAAACAGTAAGTGGTGTAAATTCCATAGGCTTAACAAATTAATTAAGCAATAGAACTCAGTTCCCACATGAGTGCTTTTACAAGCATAACGGGTATATTTTAGGTGAGTGCTTATAGAATTAGATATTCACCATCACCCTACTTGCATTGCAACACAGTATTTGTTTAAATTTGCATTGTGTAACGTACATCTAGACAGTGCCAGTCAAGTGGGTCAGGGAAGGAAAGTATAGCAGAAGACTCTATTTGCATGTTTAGAGTAATATATAGAAAAAGGCCCTATAATCACTGGAGATAAAGTACAAACTCAATGCATTCATTGAAAAAATGCTCATTATTTCATAATAAAAACTGCACACACAAACATGTTAAAGTAATATTAGCCACTTTAGCTTCTTTGCCAGGTAATTATGTAATTAATAATGCAACCCATTGGTATAAACACATGCATATGCAAACTAAAGATGGCTCTGCTCACAGACTGCCAGAGAGATGGCCAAGAGAAATTTCCAAGCACCATGAATGCCTCTTCCCAGATGGAAAAGAGGAATAGGTTCAGCCCAGCTCCCCAAGCGCAGCTGAGTTGGTCTTTTGCCTTGACAATGACCCTGTCCCTATTTCTGCATCACAGTCCTATGTGTGTTGGCATGAGTAGAGAAGTCCATGGTTAGGCTACTTCCAGACAGTTCAGTTTCCTTGCGTGTTGAGTGCTTCTTGCCAGTTTTTATTCATGGATTATTTTCCTAAGTGAATTATGGAAACAATTCATGCTAGGAGCTCACACTAGGAATATGAAATATGACAACATCAGCCTCACCCACGTCTGCCTTTAGGCATTTTTATGTTCATCTGGCATCAACTACACATTCAGAAGTGAAAAATATGACACTAATGTGCACATGAATAATGAAGCAAAGCCATTTGGAACTTCTAGAGTGAAGTGCCCTGAAAGCATACAATGTCAGAGATTAAAAATGTATGTGTATTTTCTTTATTTTAAAGAGATTTCACTCTGTAGGAGTACCTAGGATTTGTGGAAACCTCCTACTAACCCATCCTGTACCACCTAAAAGACTTTCCTCCTAAGCACATTTCAGATAAAAGTATGATTTCTACTTGGAAGAAACTGCAGACTGTTAAATAATTGACAAAGAGCCATGTATCTGTTCAATAGGCTGTTTTGGCAAAGATGTGCAAAATTAGAAGGAAATAGTGCAAGTAAATGAACAGAGATGATCAAGGATGAATCACCCATTGCCACTTTTAAATAAAAATGAGAGCAAAACTAGCAGTCTTCAGAGCTTACCTGTAGTTTCTTCTTCCTCTGACTCATTGTCATCATCATCATCTTCCTTGTCCTTGTCTTCCTCGTCTTCTTCTTTTTCCTTTTCATCCCTCCCTTTCCCTCCCTCCCCATCTGGCTCTTCCATTCTTTTCTCACCAGCCTCTTCTAGCATTTTATCCTCTTCCTTCTCAATGCTGGCTCTTAAATTCATCATAGTTATATCAGGCAGGCTTCCATCTTGGTGTACCAGTCTGTTGGTAAATAGTAACATGTCAGCAAATTGAGCACTATAGTCATGATAGCGATTTTTTTTTCTTTTTTCAAGATGTATAATTAGAAAAAAAACCCAACTTGTTCATGGAAAATGTCTTAGAAGTGGAAAGTTAATGATTCTGATACTTTTCTGCAAACACACTCTGCAAGTTGAGTTGGAATGTATTAGTAACATCTTATCACTCAGATACTAATGGTTAGTTAGTAATGAGTGGTATTGACACTTAAACTTGACATTTTCCCCATTGGAGAAAATGGTCAGAGTTTAAGATGTAGAAGCATGAAATGACATCGTTTAAGAGCAAACATTTCATGACTTCACAGGGGACTTACTCATTTTGGTGGTTTGGTATTTTTTTCTTGAGGCTGCTCATAGTAATCGGAACAGAAAGAAAAAGGGAGATGAGAACAGAGGGGTTACAGAAGAAGGTCAACGACAAATATGTCATGCTACATCACAAGTAGTAAAGCATTCTCCTACTCCGTCTGCAGAATCCTTCTGATGCCAAGAGCATGCCATCGTGACATTCACAGGGAGCTTCTATAGAGGACCAGGGAACTGCAGCACAGATGGGAAGGGGGCAATTTATTTATACTGGGGCTGAACAGGGTCAGTATTACCCCATGCTGTCAGTAAGGCAGATTGAGCAACATCAAAAGTATCTGATGCAATACTGTAAATATATTTTCATCTTCTTTCAATTGAAAGATGCAGCTGGGAAGCCAGGGGATTTGTAAGTATTCTTCCAACTATAAGTTTGAGAGCAAACTAAAGGAAAAAATCCAGACACATTTCACTTTATCATATCATACCTTTCTTTGCCAGTATCATTCATTCTCTCTCTTTTCTACACCTTAGGATTTTAGAACTTAAATTTAGAGCTGGTCCTTGCTAAAACTATTAGAACTTTTCAGACTATCAAAGTCATCAGTTTACATGTCTATTTTTTCCCAGCTGTGTTGCTCTTCACATATATATTAGCTAATAGTTATAAAGAGACTGTTCTTAATTGTTAGTTTAATTCAAAATACTGATGACTTTATGGACAAGAAGCTTGCACCCTGGGTGTGAATTGTGCTGCTATTCCATCACTGATTCAAGCTCCTAGATGAAGAGGGACAGAATCACATCCTGTGTTTGCAGAAAAAACTGCTTTTCCTAATTGGTAGGTCCTAGGTGTTCTGCTTAGCCCTGTGCTTACTTAGTTTCTTTGAATAGGACCTCTTAGAAAAAAAAATCTCTCTTTTGCAAGCCCTTATCTGTACGATCAGGTCGCTAAATGCTGAATTATGCTATCAAAATTACTACATGCAGCATGCTTTTAATGTTTCATGTTTTGACATGGTATGTTTAAGTACCAGACTGTGTGCTCAGAAAATCCAAAGCTAGATAAAAAAGCCTAATTTCTAAGAAGTTAGTCAATTTATATTTTTCTTCCCAAACTTCCACATTTATTTCCACATTCCTAAGGTTACTTTTCCTATTTTTTTTTCAATTATAAGACTGCGTGATTTCATGTAGCAGACAACAGAGTCATCAGGATTCAAAACTGCGCAGAAAATGTAGTACATCTAAGCCAATTTACCTATATAAGCTTCACAGATACTAGTCAAATGTGTGACTTAAACTCAGAAGGCACATACTGGTGGGAAATTATCAGAGATATCACAAAAGGTCATGTCTCTGATACTTATGAAGAGAAACAGCTAAATATATGATTAAAAATGAAGACAGCAAGCCTTCAAGGCATAGCAGTTAATGGTTTTGAGACCATTACATGTCCTCAAAATAATTAAATAGAGTAGTATCAACAAAGAAGAAAATTCTAGCATATCTAGCTGTAGGCATTGAAGCAATATTTCAGTCGAACTAAAACACCAGTCCCTGCTGGTACCCTACTACTTTCATTTATTTGCAATTACTACACTATACTGCACTTGATCTTAGCCAAAAGGCTGAAAAGTGATAATTTGCTGGAGTAGATTAATTAATAATAGCTTATTGGCTTCATCATGAAACATCTTTTACTATTGGTAATTTTTAATTTTTTTTTTGCAATTGGTTTATGTATTTCTTGAAACTTACTGTTCCTCAGGCATCTGCCACTCAGAGCTTCTTGCTCTGTAGGACGATACTGACCCGGCTGTCCCCAGTGCCCAGCATGCAGGAAGCCAGCGGCGCGCGCAGAGCTGTGCGGTTGTTGGCAGAGCCCTGAGCTACATCACAGCCATGTCTGTCCCAGTCCTGTCCGCCACCACCCTCAGCCTGACATGTGGACTGGCTCCCTGCCGTTAGCTAGGACATGTTGGGAGCTCAACAGTGGGGACCCTGTCATTGCCTCCAGACCCCATCCTGACCCTCACATGCTGGCTCTCATTCACAGCTGCTGGTAGGTGAGGGCCTTCCCTGACTCTGGCCCTCAGCTCCCACCCTCTGATGCTTCTTCCTACAGACCAGGAATGTTTCTAGTTCTGGTGAGCTTTTATGAACTGGCCTAGAATATATGATGATATTTAAAGGTAGCCTGAACACATGACGTATAAATTAACCTTTTATTAAAGGAAATTTTATTCACAAAAATCCAACTGAGATATTCTGTTTATATACAGTAGCAACAATATCCTTTTGATGACTGCAGCGTCTAAGGACCTTTGCCTAATCGGCCCTCTGAGCTGATTAAACAGAAATACACACTTCCTGCACTCAAATAACTTGAAAGAAATCCCTTTATGTAGCTGCTTGCAAGAATCCCTTTATAAAACCATGAGGACAACAAAATAAAGGTTTCGGTAAGCTGGATAGTAAGGATAAGCGAGGTAACATTAACACCTCACTCAGGCTCTGAATTAACAGCCTTCGCCTGCACTGGTTTCAGTGTATCAGATACAGTTTGAATAGAAAATCATCTGTAGAGGCACTCCTATTTTTCTTGAAAAGAAATGCTGGTTCCACATTTCTTTGACCCAACCCCCAGATTCCCTTGTGCTTGGGAAGCAGAACAGGGGTGTATGTGAGCAGATGCACGTGCAGGCATGCATCTTTCATGCACAGGCAAAGGACAGATAAACGAGCCTCCTCAAACAACTCTATTGTCTGCAGCCAATTACAAATAGAACCAGTTTTGCCTTTGCTGAGGCATGGACAAAGTCAGAGAATCCCAACTAAGGAAATGAACTCACAACATATAAATATGCAGGAGAGATATTAAATATTTCACCAGCTACTAGGTTTAGAAGGCTACAATACCTGAACAACAATCTCTCCCCTGCTTATTTTCACAGTACTTTGAAGAAATCACATATTTTGCTTGAAGACAATTAAGAGGTAACAACGAATTAATGTATATATATTTTTTTAAAGGAAAGGAAAGATTGAAGTACCCACCTATTTATTATTAGATAAACACGGCCATTGACTTTGGCATGGCTATGAGGTAGGAGATGAAAGCACAAGAATGCATGAGATGGCAGTGGGAAATGAGTTAGAGAAAGAGAAAAGGAAACCATTAAAAAGAAAGGAATGTATTTTCCCATCTAACAAGCGAGGCATATTGTCATAAAATACCAAGTCTGAAAGCTTAACACACCATGCAATGAAAAGTCTAGAAGCAGATAAATACAATACTTAGACATTTAATGTGCAACTTCAGCTAGAGCTACAGATACTTACTATAGATCCCAAAATGTAAGAAGTCACTACTGTTTTATCTCAGAGAAGTCAATGTGCAACTTCAGCTAGAGCTACAGACACTTACTATAGATCCCAAAATGTAAACTACTGTTTTATCTCAGATAAGTTCCAGAATATTTTGTTCATATTTAAAAATATTTTGCTATTATTTTACATGAAGTTGATTTTAATGAAGTATCATACCATAGTTTGTCTGTCTTACAGCTCTAATCTCTGCCATACCACGGTTCACAATGCAGGAAGGAAATGGCCTTATAAAGGCTTAATCAGAGGATTTTCCTTTCTTCTTGCAAATGCAAAACTGACCCAGGTCCTTGGTTCTATCATCACCTTCATAAATAGTCAGAAATGCCTCACTCTGAGAGTTGCAGTATGCCAGGGCCTGCCACTTCTTTTTGTAACTGGCAGAGATTCATTCTCAAACTCTCTTTGCACATGTGAACACACATATGCTCACACGAAACAATATTTTAATTTCCAGAAAAGTTTTAGATTTTAACAAGACTCTCTAATTTCATACAGACATAATAGCATAATCACACACTTGATGGACTGATGGAAGAACTGCAGCTGCTTTTCACTATAACTTTCATGATTAGCTCTCACGTAGATCTGGTTGTTTTCTGATAAAAGGATTGACTTTGTCTGCCAGCTGCAAAAAAAGGTTCATTTTCTTTACTTTTAAAGTTTTTCTGTAGCAACAGAGGCAACATAAAAACAATTCTGAGGGGTAAACTAAGAGCTAAGAGTTTTTAAGGTAAAAGGAACAAATGAAGCTTTGTAAAAATATTGCACATAGTTACTGCACATATGAGTCTTTAAGCTGTGTTTTAATTGTCCCTGCTACTTATTTCTGTTGCTAGCATTTCTGTTGAGCTGGTACTAGTAGCCGTGCTAGATTTTATCGATTTCTATGCACCATCAGTGCAACTGTCAGCTGAGTTCTCACACTGAAACTTTGCATCGTAAAGTTAGTTATCTGCTGTCAGATTATTTATTGCATGAAGAGGGAAGAAAACAGCTGGATCTTCATATATCAGGCAGTGTTTACGATAGTACAAACAAGAAAATTTGTTTTGATTTGGGAATTGGACAAGCTTGTGAAAAGCTCTAAGGAGGAACAGATGATATACATGATAACTGTGACTTTGAAATGTTGCAAAATGACAAGTGTGGCACAGTTCACACATTTAAGATTTAAAAACATCTAGCTACTTATTTTACAGTTCAATACAATCAGGTACCGCACGAAGACCTAAAAAAAAGACGGATAAGGAAAAAAACGGTATCACACAATCCCCTTCATTTGTTACTTTGCTTTAACCTATGTATCCTGTCCCATGGATATTTATTCCTGGTAAAAAATTATTTTTACTCACTACAAGTAAAATCCATATACTACAACATTATCTTCTGATACTTTTACTTTTGATTTGTTTGCAATCAGTTAAAAAAATTAAAAGAAAAAGAAAAGCTACATTATTAGGAATTCCTTGTCAAGTTGATTTGTTTTGTTTTTAACAACTTATTCAAACATAGACACCGGAAGTTTGCAGAAGTAGAACTTATTCATGTACACTGGGAACAGGGAACACAAGCATACCCGTACCTGACACTTCATACACTTCATACTAGATTGATTGCTTAAAATACTTCTGAAATGTTTTTTGTAAAACTAGTAAGTCACAGAGCAGACTTCTTTGTTAAGATAAACTCTCATTATTCCACAACATGCTGGAATGTATATAATGCAATACAGTTGTCCCTCACTTATAAAAATACAGTTAAGTTACACTTATCTATGTACTGGCAAATAATAAAAAATATTGTCTACATAAGTTGATTTCTTCAGAATAAATAAATCATTGTATAATATGACTAATATGACACTATGTACTTTATTTCCATTTTCTGAAGTTCAACATAATATAAAGCCTTCATTGTCTAAGGTAATGTGATATTTTCCAGAGATGACCCAATCTCCATTTGGCTTGCATCATGAACATTGCAAACAGAGGTGGTCGAAGCTGAAAGCATATTATTGCCAGGATTCACAAAAAAGCAAACCTGCTAAGCATCTAATTCCTATCAAAGATCAAAGTCAATAAGATAAATACATAAATGTCATTGATATCTCCAAAAACGTACCCCCAAATCAAAAACTTAAACATGTAGTGAAAGGGAGGCAATATATGTCGGTTGTGGTTTGTTTGGTGGAGGGACGGGGTCTGAGGGAGGCTGATCTTTTTTCCCCCTTCATCCTCTTTTTTATTTTAACCAGCTAGTCATAGGGGCAAGCAACATTTTATGAAAAATGAGTATTAAAACAGTCAGAAACAATGCTTTCACATAGACAAGGAATAGCTCTATTTACTTTGTTTCTTTACCTGTAAATAGTGTTGTCCTGTTTGCTGGTTACAGCTTTTAAATCAGTGAGCTGGAGAAAACGGTCATGGAAGTAGTGAAGGTGTAAAATACACGCTAATAGGAAGGAGGTGGGGATAAAGATGCGGGTGAATAGCTCAGCCACAGAAAACCGTTTTAAACCAAGATCCTCTAGTCTGAAAAACAAAGCAAGTAAGTCATCTTTTCACACCAAAATCCTTATCCTTTTCATGAGAACTTAGTACAAATCATTTGTAAGGGAAAATACAGTGTGTCTTTCCAAATCTTTAAATACTTTCACAGCAGAAAGTCTTACAATGCAAGTCTTATAATAAAAGATATTCTACACTTGGACACAATAATTCAGAAAGATACTGTAAGTGCATGGAGACAAACCAATCAACTCTGCCAAAAATCTCCTTATGGGAGCCAGAGAGGTTGTCTCTCACAGGAAGTCCCGCACTGAAGATCCACTCATATTGCGTGTATTCCATCATGTGAAGTCCCACTGAGGACTACCCAGCACATTAAGGAAAAGTTAAGAAACTCAGCCCTCCTCATTTGATTGGACGCAGTACTGTTTTCATGGGCTCCAGACTGCCTGCAGATCTATGCTGACCCCGTCTCTGCACCTTGCCCCTGTGGTCCTAGAGGCAGAGAAAAGCATTGGCATCATATTGGAAACAAGAGCGGTGCCAAAGCCTTAGCAGCAGACAAGGGAATCTCTCTCACGTGCTTTCCCCTCTTTTTATTTTTGCACTGATAAATTTATGGCTATGCCTGGGGATGGTTTCACGATCTGTCTCCATTACAGGAAGGAAGGGCATCCTCTCAGGGCATTACACTATACTAAACTCAAAAATCCACTGGAACAAAAAAAAAAAAAAAAAAGGCAAGCAAGCACTTACTTGTTTTCATCCAGGCCTGTCATATTCTTCCACAACCCTGGGAATGACTCAAACTGGTAGGTATAGATGAAGATAAGCACCAACATCGTGTAAACAACCACTGACATCCAAAAGTATTTTAAAATCTTTCTCCACCATTCATAGTGCACCTGAAAATCACACACTGAGGAAGTTAAAACAAGCTCAAACAGGAGTTGCTGACAAAAGTATTGACAGTGCTGTACTAGCAAACGAAGACTATTTTTCTTTCAATCTAAAGTAAATGATGCCACAGGTCTCTGAAATACTTTTAATTTTTGGTACATAGGCACTGAAGCTCTGACTTTTGAGTAAAATCAAAGACTGTCAAGGCAGGGCCACAGGCGCAAAGGTCAGGGACAGCTTCAGCCACTCAATTTCATCACCAGGAGTCAATGGACTCCATGCTCTTTATAGTGTGCAGGCTGCAAAGACCTGCCATTGCAAAGACTGATGGTATGAGTACAAGTCCATGAATTTCCAAACAGGTTCTCACAGTGATTTGGAGTGGAGTCCCAGAAGGGAGGCATGTGTTTCAGGCATCATTTATTTAATTTACACGCACCTTGCCTGCACTATAATCAAAAGCCAAAGGAGAATTAGGCTCATCAACCTGATCAAGTGATCTTATTACCGGAATGTTGTATCTAATGAAAGAACAAATACACTACAATTTTGTTTTGAGCCACCTAACTGCCAATCTAAACGTATGAACTGTTGTATTCAAGAATAAAATTTAGTTTGTGAACTGTTTTCACTTACCTGATAGAGGGCCACGCAGAAGAGGAACAGTACCATATAGATGATTTTGTACATGACAATTCTTCCCTCAAAGCTAACAAAGAAGAACATGCCCCCACAGACGTAAATCCAGTACTTGATGAACATAGCCATCACCAGCTTCCCCAGGACTTTCATAATATCCTGTTCATCATCATCATCATCATCCTCTTCCTCCACCACCTCCTCCTCTTCTTCTGCCACTTCTCCCTCTTGCAATTCCTCTCCTGTAAAGACACAGAGTCTCTTTTGGCCTCCATCTATTTTGGGGGTTCTCCTAAGAGTTGAAATGGGTGCAAGGTAAAAGGTCTGAGCACAACCAAGAAACTTTAACACAGTGCTCACAGCAAAAGAGCATATTTCTGAATCATCTACATGCCTTCAGAGCAAGCAAAAGAATTTCAATGCCATAGGAACTTCTACTTGTACTCAGGACGATACAGCACTTTCTCTATGGCTCTACTAGGTATGACTCTGAGCTTTGTCTAACATCCAGGGAGCTACTCTGGAAAATTAAAACCTAAGGGCTGTATATCAGATCATGGTCAAAACAACATCTATGGTAATACCTATAATCCTAGGAAAGAAACCTTTTAATCTGGAAAACAAAGAAACGACCGTTGCCAGCAAAATAAAATCCCTGATCCTGTATTTAGAGAGATAAATGTCCTTAAAAGAATACTGTGGTTTCCTCCAAAATGCACAAGCAAGAGAAAACATTAACATAAAACTATACAAGCTCAAAACTAACATTGCACTAACACTGCTGTTTTCAAAGAAGCAATGCTTTTCATCTTCCTCTCCTGTGCCTCAGCCATGGCAAAAAAGGGCAAACTACTATCACCCTGTCAAAAGAACCTGTTTCCATAGTTATGAACCTTGTGAGACTTGTGGAGGGCAGGCCTGGTGTCCCTACAAGGACAAACATGAACAAGTATTGAGATAATAGGCCTTCTCAAGCTCATAGTGCTTAGCTGTAATATTTTTTCGCACTGAGACTTCACCACCAAAAGGGTTGCCCATTCATTTGCCTCCCTCACCACTCCTCTTCCCAGGTTCTTTCTTTGCTCTTGCTAAGGAACTTAGCAATTGGCTTTTCCTGTTTAAACTCTTCTTCTGCAATTGTTAAACTCCTGTGACAATTCATCTGCTAGTCTGAGTTTGGGACACAGGAATAAATTGCTTATTCAAAAGTTCCACTACATTTTTCAAATAAGTCAATTTATCTTGTATTTTTGTGATTCAACTGTAAGGCAAATTCTCATTGGCATTTGATTTTTTTGAAGTTCAAAGGTCTTATTTTTACCACCTGAGAGACTAGTTGCACATGGATTTTGCAGTGTCTTGCTCAGCTGATAAAAAATACCTTGCACATTGCGTTCAGCATTAAGAAAAGCAGTCTGTCACGACAGACAAATCCACTAAATCTGATGTGACTTTACCTTTTTCTTCATTTTCTTCACTCCCAACTTTGACCTCAGATAAAGTAGCTTCTTTTAGCCGAACTGCTTTCTGCTCTGTGAGGTGTTGCCTAAGCAGTAGCCAGAAAGTAATCGTGAAAAGAATCTGCAAACAAAAATCAAAACAAAAACAAAAGACAGACTAATTGCATATCCCAAATCCTGCTATTTAAAACATGTATTTTCAGCAGCTTTTCATGCCATTCTTTTCTCTGTCCATCATAAAATGGCAATGATAGCATCAATGCCAAGGTATATATTTGTGGATGTTAAGTGATTTAGGAAATATCCTGCCTTATAAACAACTTTATTTTACTTGCACTTGTCATGGGGGTATTAACTTTCAGTCTATATCTTTCCTTAGATATATTTGCCTATTATTCTATCTTGTTCTACTTGATTTATCCTTCCTTTCTTAAAAAGTTGAAGAGTTTTCCACTTATGCTTTGATCAGTAAAACCCCCATCTGCTCTTTCTTGTTCTCTTTTCCCTGCAAGGAACAAGCACAACTAGGTGATTGTCTTGTCATTGCAAGGGTTTGGTAAATCCTAGCTCTTCTGATATGATATGTTTGGTACTTTAGGAACTTAAATGCAATTAAATTAAAAATCAAAAATTTCTTTGTGTGTCATGTTATGAAAGATGCAGCCAAAGAGGTGCGCTTTGCATTGAAGAAGACATTTGAGATGGCCCTTGACTCCTGGAACAGCTTCAAGATATGATTAATTCTGTAACAGGAGGAGAAGTTAGAAAAGATTAGTCCCTCTGATGAAGAATGCACTTCTGTATTTTAGAAATAGCTAAATTCATCATGTTGTAATACTGAGAGGGACAGGATTAAGAAAATAACATGATGTCTATTTTTCGCGTGCTTGATTTTACACTTATTTTTTTAAGGTTTCCACCGGTTTCTGTGGTGCAGGATGATTTCACTACTTTATGAACCAGACTAATAAAATCTCAAGCAGGAAACATATAAGAACCAAGTCATTTGTATGCAATACAATACAATATAATGACATAGTCAATAATGTAATGCAAACAATTCCCTAGTTTTTTTACCTAACATACAGGTACTTAATGGGGGAAAGGAATGGTCCTAGGCTAGTGACAACTGTTTTCATTGGCATGGTGGCTCGGGCTGAGCCTTCACAGGAGATCCTCAGCCTGTGCGAACTCTCACAGCTCTTCCAGATACCTCCTGGAGCTCTGGCTTTTGCTACACAAACCTCTGGTATTGTAAAGCACAGATTTGTTCTGCAGCACAAGCTCTGCCTCACCAATCCTGGCATTTCCAGAATCACAACTGGGTCTAAGACAAGTTTTGAAGATTAAAGATATACGTTTAGGCCACCTTTCTCAGCATCCATTTTATTTCTTTTACAGACCAGGACACATTCACAGCATGTGGAAAACTATGCAGAGACAATAACAGTATCTTGATTTAGCCCTTTCTCTCCTTGCAAAATGCAGTATTCAGTCAAAATTACAGAGTGCATTACATTCAACCTGAAAAAAAAACAATAGATGTCTCCTAATAGTTTTATAGGTGTGGATGTCTCATCATATATACAAAACACTTTCCTTTCTTGACACAGTTAAAGACATTAAAGACATCAAGTTAAAGCACATTTGATGATACAGCTAATCAGAAACTATGACAAAGTGATTGACACTATATGAAGACAATTAAAACTTTTTAGAGATTCACAAAGTTGCTGAGAGAAACTGTAAATTTTACCTTGCAGAATCCCTTGAGACCTAGCTCTCTTACTAAACTAGCTCTACCATTATGGAACACATAATACAGTGCTCACTAATTTTCAAATGCATTAAGGATCCAGAAACACTTGCCCAGAGGGCAATGTCAACCAGGAAAATCAATTGCAGGATCACCTAAAAAGGAAATTAGGAGGCACAAGGGAAGTGGTACACTTAGCTCAAGTGGAGCAGTGCCAACCAGATGCACTCTCTGAGATGACCCTCTTGGCTGCTCTAGGAAACAGATTCCTGTTTATGCTCAGTCCAATCCCCAGAAACAAGCCTGCCAAACTCGACACACTTTGTATGGCTTTCAAGACATCAAAGGTAAAAAATATCCTGCACTGAGATCAACAAACCCTCTTGTCCGTGACCTGAAATGGATTTCAGCTTTTGCTGCTTCAGGTGTAAGAGCAAAGAACTCAAATTCAGCTACAATCACGTACTGCTGCTTGTGCCAGATCATAAGGGAGTGAGTAGTATTAGTAATTTCAGTGACACCACAGTTACATTTGCCATCATATTCAAAGATAGACCTGACATCCCATGGGTAACCAAATACAGCAAAGGCAGTGCCACAGAAAATAAAGTCGCTAAAACTACAGTGTTTATTCAGCTGCCCACAATCATTGAGCTGACTTTGAATTTGGAGCTTCATATGGCTGCAGCTTGGCTCTCACTATAACCAGCAGGTATTTTACCATTGACCACGCAGGTGCAGGGTTTATGGTTTCGAAGGCCAGAACCTTTCATGTGTGATACCAGCGCTAAAGTTTTCACAAGCAGCTGAGACATCACATTCTCAGTTATAAGAGGAGAGGCTTAAGAGAATAAGAATCAATCCATCATATCAAATCACATCTACTTTCACCTCCATTTTATAGATTCAAATAACTGAGAAATTTTCCACCCACTAAGAATTCTCTGCAGAATTATCAGCAGTTCCCAAATGCATTTGAAAAATTTGTTTAGATATTAAATCAGAAGCAAATTTGGCAACATTTTTAAAATTACTTATCCTTCACAGTAGAACTGTTGCTGAACATGGGCATGTCCAATACTGAGAATTCACTCTTAAAAATGCCAAGAGCAACATATTTTTTATAGTAATATGTTTTTTGATGTTCATAAATAAATCTCAGCTGTTAATAATACATACCTTAGATGCTAATTCCCCAGGTTCCTTTCTTTCTAAAAATCCTGATACTTCAGGAAGCTCATCATTCTTGAGGTCAATACTCCATATATACTGCAATGTTAGCAATAAATTTCCATAGAAAACCATGAATGGTGAACTGATCATGGCGTATTTCCTTCGGTCACGGATCATCCACAGCGTGCAAGACCAGATCAGTAACACAAAAGTCAACCAGCTGTGATATGTGATACTCCAAGCCTTGTGGATAGAGAAAAGAAGAAAAAAAATGTTCATAGATTCACTCAGGACTAGCATTGACACATATTGTCAGTCAAACTTCACTGTGTTTCTCTACCTAACACACATTTTCATTGAGACCAGCTCCCACTTATATTAATCAGGCAAGCTACAACAAACCACTGAGAAAATACATTGAAAATGGATTCTTAAGAAATCCAGAGCTGAGGATGAATCTTTCTTTGTATCTTAATTGCACCTTGGTAAGGTACGTGAGCAGACAAACTGAGATGGAAAATACACACTAAGTTTTGGGCCCACAAATCCTCTCTGCGAAACTAGCAGCAAGGAATTCAGAGTGACGATAGCAAGTAGCTATTGAATATGCTGCTCACATTTGAGGCCTTCAGCAGACTTAGAAAACAACACTGACTCCATACTTTTCTTGCTCTATGGATTTAATTTAAAATGAAAAAGTATGGTATGTGTGCTCCTATGTGAGGATCATTCAGTCTGTAGTAATCATGTTTGTTGGCTTCCTATACTCAAAACTATCAAATGTTTTGTACAGCTTGAAAAAACCACTGAAAATTTATCTATGGCACAATCAAGGAAAAGTATTTTTTTATTATTATTCATATCTTATTATTATTTGGGGCAAAATTCAGTTATATTTTGGTATAAATCTGGAATACCTGTCAATAGAATATTTTAATTTCTCTTTCAATTTATATAGAAAAGTATAAAACATTAAGAATATTTTAATCAGGTTAGCTCAGCCCCTCTAGAAATGGTATCTTTTAGGGTATGTGAAAAAAATAGTATATTACTCTTTTGATGACTTATAAGAAATTAACATTCACTGAGATATGTTTTGCTGTAAATGGAATTTGGTATAAGTGGAATCAGATCACACCATAAATGAATTCATAGATGAATTTGGCTAAGGTTATTTAAAACGAGGATATTTCACCATGGAAAAATCTAGTAGTGTCTCAGTATTATACTAGAAGAAGGGTCTTTAAATAGATCTCCACCTTTAATATTGACAGATGTAAGCCTGGAAATGAGCTAAATAGAAATGCAAAGCATAAGAAGCTTGCATTCTTAGGAAAAAAGAAAAAGAAAAGGAAAAGGAAAAAGAAAAAGGGAAAAAGGAAAAGAAAAGGGGAAAAAGGAAAAGGAAAAAGAAAAGGAAAAAGAAAAAGGGAAAAAGGAAAAGGAAAAGAAAAAAAGAAAAAGGGAAAAAAGAAAAAAGAAAAAGGGAAAAAGGAAAAGAAAAAGGGAAAGAAAAAGAAGAAAAAGGAAAAGGAAAAGAAAAAGAAAAAAAAACAAAACAAAAATGAAAACGAAAATGAAAAAGAAAAAGAGAGAAAAAGGGACATTGCACTTGCCACAAAAAAGAAAAAGAAAGAGAAAAAGGGACATTGCACTTGCCAGTGCATTTCAAAATGCATCAAGTCATATCCAAATTCTACACAGATTTGTTTTATTTAGCTTATAATGAGAAACTTTTCCTGCTAAAGGACAGCAAATAAAGTTTGAAACTAAAACACCTACCCACACACACATATATATATATTAGTTTATGCAAACAAAAAGCAGCCCAACTAATTTGTTTTACCATTTTTAATGCAAAATTGGGCCAAGAAACTTTATGGTAAATTGCATCACAGTTGAAATCTTTCCAAAACAGTAAAACCAAAGCCTGTATTAGGAAAATGGACTAAACTAATCACCACGATGAAAACTAGCTACAGTGTACCTCCAGGTATTTGCATGTAGTGGGCTTAGAAGCAAAATAAATGAAAGAAAAAAATATTTAGTAAGCAATATAAAATCTTGCTTGACACAAAAATGTATTTGCCTTGAGATCTTTCTGTGTCAACATAGGAAATTGGGATTTATAGGTCTTTTTTCTCAAGAGAGTAAACTGCATGCATGCTTCAATTTGAAGTGATACAGAAACTATACGGATATTGAAACTATGCTGAATTTCAATAGAAACTATATATTTAAATTTACTAGATGAGTATGAAATGCTTTAAGTTTGCAGGTAACTTTCTGATTGGAGCACAAGCATGACAAACTGGCTCATACAAAATCTTCCGAGTTGATAGAAAACTGAGACTAAGCGATGTTCTGACATTCAAAAGATAACAAAACATAGAGTTTCCTGTCCTGGAAACGTAATGCTTTACCCAGAACTCTATTTTTAGGTGTATTTTCCTATTTTTCACATCACCAACTGGCTTGAGAATTATGTATTAATAATGTAAAAGGGAACCAAAATGAGGCATACCAATATTTTATGACCCTGATGAAAACACTAACTGAAAATCAACAGACCAGATTCATACCAGGAAAACACTTAGAATACATTTTTTTTGTTGTTGCCATTACTTACCATCATAGCTATCAGAGCACAAATGTAACTTTGTTTCATGATAAATTGGAACACAGAGACCATAGCATGTAATTTAACATTTTCTTTTTCCTCCTGGGTGA